ACATTCCAGGTCGAGGATTCAGCAAGAGCGGAGACAGAGAGTGGGGCCTGGTCTGGCAGGTGTGGTCTTGGTGGTTGGAGGTGTAGTTATGTGGGGGGTAGTAATGGGGCAGGCCATGAACCCAGGCTGGATCATAGGGGACTCTGAGAATCATGCTAGAGATCTGGACTCCATCCTAAAGGGGGTGGCAGGACCAAAGAACATTTTCTGGAAGAGGTGTGTAGGTGCCAGGGTCTGAGAGGTTGCTTCCTTTATTGGAGGATGCATTCAGGGGTCTTGAAGCTCCTGAAAGGCCACAACTAGATGGAACCTGAGGCTAGTCAATGATGTGTCACCCCCATGCCCCGCTCAGAGGATAACCCTCCTCCTGGCGTTCTTGCAGGAGTGCTTCCACATCTGCCGACATGCCAGTGGCTGTAGAGCCCCCACAAGTACATGTTTTCATACACTTATTGGTCCACCCAGCCCATGTTCTTTGAGAACCAGGAGGCAGTTTAGTGTAGTGGTTAAGAGTGAGGGCTCTGTGGCCACTGGGTGGCTGGTGTCCTTGGGCGAGCGTTTGCACCTCGGTGCCTCAGTTTCCTTATCTGCACCTGGACGCAACACCATTCCCCACCTCTCAGCATTGTGAGGGTTCTGTGGGTAAACCTGTGCTGGCCAGGAGGTAAGGACTACCTGTGGTGGCGATGATGATTATTCTGGCTACTACCTATTGCTATTGCCTAGTAGTGAGTGCTGTGCGCAGCTGGGATTCCTCCGCGGAAGGGAGAAACACACAGGGTGGTGCCAGAACTGGTACCCAGAGCATGTCTCTGGGGAACCCCAGGGCCCACGACTGAGCTGGAGATTTGTTCTGACTTTTCCCTGATGGCTGGGGCAGCTTTGGGGACAGTGCCACAAGACTGAAGCCATGGCTGAATCCTTTTGACAAACAGCATGGGAGCCCGCTGGCACTGCAGTCAGGCCTTTAACAACAGATTCCTTGTTTCCTCGCTCAGGTTGATGGGGGCAAGTGAGGGGGCTTCCCTTCTACTGGGCGTCCACACAGGCTCGGGTTGGACAAAGCCCAGCAGGGGTGGCTGAGGCCCGGATCTTGCGTGGTCTGTGCCCTCTGGCTACTTAAGCTCCCCTCTCTGAGCTGTTGCTGCCTGGTGGGTAATGGCTCCTGCTTTGCTGACCTCCAGAAACCATGGGGGTGGGAGATTGAGTCAGATGGTAGATGTGAAACAGAAGACGGTGAGGTGGTTATGAATCAGGGGCTGGGAGTTAAGTGGCCTGGGTTGGGCATGAGGACAGGCTTCCTCTGCTATTTCTCCGCTATGATCCTTAGCAAATCATTTCCCATTTCAGTGCCTCAGTTGAGAGTAACAAAAATACCCTCCTTCTAAAATATTTGGTAACTTAAAGATGACATGTGCAAAGTGCTTAATGCATATCTATGCTCAGCATTCCAAGAGGGTGAGCTGTTTCTCATACAATGGGTTGGAATGAACAGATCCTTTCTGTGCAAATTGAAAAGTGCTGGAGGAGGGGAAAGGGCCACTGCTTATGGCTGCCTGCAGGTCAGATGGCTTTTGGGTTCACGAGACCTTGAATATAAGAGCCAAAGACAGGGGTCAAACCAACACCCACATGTGCCGCTGTGGTTTACTTGTCTCTCCAACTGGGTTATGGGGTTTTTGGAGCAAGGCCTGGTACCTAGTAGGTGCTCACATGGTGCTTGTTGGGTCCATGACTAACAAGCAGCAGGTGACAGTCCCAGGTATCCCATGTGTGTTCAGCATTGAAGGTCCATCCAATCCCAATTTCTTCCAGCTCGCCCAGGAGGCAAATGATGCCAGCACATAGGATATATTATTCATATTCCACTCCATACAAAATACACAGCAAATTCATTCATTCTTCTCCCCTTCTTTCTAGCAGAATATTTCTAGTAGATCCAGGGAGGTTTTCAAGATAATTTCAAGTTAATTGGTCCTTGAGTAATCTGCAAGGACCCTTCTGGATTTGCACACCACACTCTCCCCCTCATTAAATGGGTTTTTATTTCACATCCCCTGGCAGCTCTGGGCATGCTGCCCACTCCTCACCTCGATCACAAAGCCCCTGGGCTCCACAGTGCTAGGGGGAGAGGGATTTGTGGGGACAGGGAAGGTCAGGGGCTGCTTGTCTCCATGACAAGCGTCTGTCATTTCTCCAATTTGAAAGGACTTATTGTCCTTTGGGCTCCAGACTTTGCGTTCTGTGAAACTTAAAATTAATGCATTAAATTAATTTTGTGTTCCCGTCACCAGGCTGATTAGTACAAATTAAATTTCACACTAATTGGCTGAGGTGGAGAGAACACAATTCTGGTGCTTGGAATTAATGCTGATTTCAGGGATGGTGGTTAGGGGTGTGACCTGGGCACTCCTGGGTTGCCCCAGCCTGTATTGTGTAGCCAATGCACATCAGCACTCTTCCCACAAGAATGCTTTTGCATGTCCATGAGCAAATCAAACCCACCCAAAGCCGAGTGTAAGGCCAATATTAAGAGACCCTTGGCAATTTCTGTGGCTGTGATTCTTAAATTTTGATGTGTGTAAGAGTCTTCCCGGTGTGTGTTGAAATGCAGATTCCTGGTTCTGCCTATGAGGATATGGGGGATCTGAGGGTCCCGGAATTTGCATTTTAATAACCCTCTCAGGTCATGGTAATGCAGGTACTTTCCCAGTACACAATGTAAGAAACAGCAGGAGAAAGCTCCATGACAAAGATAGCATACTGGAGAGCCTTTGTTAACTGGTGGCCCCTACTTGGATCAGACAGGTCTGGGTTCAAATCTCAGCTCTGCCCCTTGCTAGAAATGTGACTTCACAATGCTTCCTCCAAGCCTCCTCTTTCCTGTTTCTACTGAAATCTGCATTTTGGTCTGAGCAGTCGCTGATACGGTCAACAGGGTGGGAAACAGATGGGCTGGGAGAGCGAAGCAGATGGGACCATGGAACGTACTGTGCAGCCCCAGATTTTGTAGCACAACTATTTTTTTTTACTCTTTTTGAAAGACATTTATTTTGTTTGTTTATTTTGTTTTCTGATTTGTTTTCTGATGACAAAGTGGTAAAAAAAAAATCAACAGTACAGAAATGCATCACAAGGAAATTGGAGTCCCCAGCGAGCTCATCCTTGCAGGAAAAAAAAAAGAAAAATCCTCATTCACAGTTTGGGAGAGCTTTGTTCTGTGCAAGTACAAACAAAAATGGGATCACACCAAGCATTCTATTCTGTGACTTTGCTTTTTTCCCTTTTGGCGATATGTCTTGGGGATTTTTTTTTTTTTAAATGTCAGAACTTATAGATCTGTGTCTTCCCTCTTTGTGGTGCAGATGAACAAATGGTGAGCCTGTCCAAGCTGACAATATTGGTGGAGACTAGCTGGGAAGGGCAGCTACATTCCACACTGTAAGGACCGTTTTTGCCGTCTGTGTAAAAAATACCCCTCAGTCCCCTCTAAGTGCTGGTCGCAAGATGGAGGGTCTGATGGGAGAGTGAGGTGTTTTGACATATTCATAGGCAACATTTACAGCATAGAATTGAAATGTCAGGAAGACTTGCGATCACCATGTCTGATTCAATGCATTTCACAGCTCAGGTGACCAGGACCCCAGAGGGAAAGGGAATGTCTAAAGTCACACCACATGCTAGTTGTTGAGTCTAGACTCCAGCCCAGAACCCTCTTTTTAAAGATTCCCTGCCTCTTGACTTTAGCCCCCTGTATGAGATAGCTTTCATTCTGTGAGCTCACCCTTCCCTATGCAAGATTGTTTCTGAGCCTCTTGGTCATAATCACTCCACCAACATGTTTCTCTCCTTACTTTATTTGGCATGTCCTTGAACCCTGAAGGCTACATTTTGGAACAATAATACCATGGAAACCCTAACCTCTTAGACTTCTGTGGTTGGTCAGCTAATCAGAAAAAAAAAAAAATCAGTGCAAGTAGGAATTCATGAGAAAAAAATTCTATTTTGAACTTAAAATGCATACACCTTAAATCACTGCATTGCTAGGTAGGGCCACATTTTTTCTGTGTGTGAGCTTCTGACATATGTTTTACTTCTTTCTTTCTTAAACCACACTCCTCATACACAGCCATGTGATTTCCACTTTTGGCTTCTTTAAAATGGAGCAAGTGGCAAAGTAATCTGAATACAGAAACCTGATTTTTTACTTCCAGTTTTTGTTTTTAGTTGTTGCACCTACACCTACTTGGCAACACTTTAAAAAGCAACTCACCTTTATGAAATTCCTTCCAAAGTGTTCAACCTAGTTTTCTTGGAAACTCTTTGTCCTCTCATATTTTATAGGTTTATGTAACTGTTAACTGAATAGATAATTACAATAGAAATGCAACAGGTGAAAACAGGTTGGGAGCACATATACAGGCAATACTGGGAGTGCATGGCTATCACCCAGTAGGAACAGGGAGACCATGAGAAACTGTAGAGGGATAGTCTGGCTGAGAGCATTCTGGTGTGGTAGGCACCAGCAATGTGTCTTACTGAGGAACAGTGTTGGTCAGGCCCCAGAGATGGTTCATAAAGGTTAATTACAAAGAGTTTCCACTAAAATAGCTATTTTTAAAAATCGAGCATTTGCTATGTGCCAGGCACCGTGCTATGCTTCCTGTGAATTATCTCACTTAGTCCTCTACACAATTTCATAATCCTTAATTTCAGTTTTGATACAATTCCATAAGTTCAAAAAACCAAGAATCAGGCATTCTGACTGATGTAGTCACTCAGTTAGTGAGTGTTGCACCAAGAATTCTACCACACCGAGATCAGCACAGTTCTGAAGCCCATGCTCATGACCACTTAATTATACTCAAAGGTTGCTTTTCCTAGATAGTCAGTGATTTGTCCAAATGTCATCCTGTGGAGTGTGCACGGGGCGGGGGGAAGGGTTAGTGCCCCCAAGAGTAACCCTACCTTGACCACCCCACACCCTCCCCCCATCCCAGATTGCTGACTTGACCACAGAGCTTGCCGATGAGCGCTTCAAGGGTGACATGGCCTGCCAGGTACTGGAGAGTGAGCGGGCAGAGCGGCTACAGGTCTTCCGGGAGGTCCAGGAGCTCAAGGTAGGTGGTCGGGGTGGTCGAGGGTGACTGGGAGTAGTTGGGTCTGTCCCCAAACCCCACATGCACATCGGGGACCAGTAAGCCTATGCCAAATGCACAGGTTGATTGACTCCCATGTTTGAGGTCCTGGGGACATGTGGGTCCTTCTAAGGCTTGGCCTTGGAGATGCCATGGGTAGACAGTCACTGGCTATGGAAGCACATGGGAGAGGACTGTACAGAAGGCAGACTGTCCCTGGCCTTTGGAGGTGATTTGGGTAAGAAATGTGCAGAGGGCTGGTCCCTGGTCTTAGAGTGTCCATGGGTTATGACTGCTGGTCTGGGAGATCCATGGCTGAGATGACCAGCCCAGGCTTCTATCCAGCCCAAGTTTGAACCTTAAGCCCTTTCTTCCAGAGCAAGTATGAGCAAGTCCAGAAAAATCTGGGAGAAGTGGAGAAGCAGTTGGAAGAGGCCCAGCAGAAAATTCAGTTGAGTGACTTGGAAAGAAATTCCACAGGAAGAGGTGAGCAGCCAGGAATTCTTGGGACTGGGCGCTGGTGGACAAAGCTGTCTTTTTATGTTTCATTCATTCATAGATACTCACTGAGCACTTACTGGATGCCAGACACTGCATGAGTGACTGGGCAGAGAAAATAGGCACAGCCCTTGTTCTCTTGGGGCTGATGTCCAATGGAACTGGCAGACATTAAACAGATAATCCACCAATGTCCAAAAGGACACATTATCAATGTGGCCGGTGCTGTTTAGTAATAATGCCAGAAATGGCCTAGAAAATAGTAGCTCTATGGGCAAAGCACTTTTATCTTTGAATGTTTTTAACATAAATTTACAGGAAAACAGTTTAGTGGTTAAAAGTAGAGCCTGTTAAGTCACATTTCTGGATTTGAATTTTAACTTCATCCCTTATTGGATGAGTGGTTTGGAGAAATGAAATTATTGTGTGTCAGTTTCCTAATCTTTCACACAGAGATTGTCTTGAATGATCAATAGAAAATGTTTAACCACATGTATGGCAAAGAATTCTGAATAGCTATTTGCTACATCATCATCATCATCATTATTATTATTATAAGGAATAATGAGGTCACTCTCCATTCTCATAGCAATCTGTAGAACAGAAACTACATACTATCCCCATTTTACAGATGGTAAAGCTGTGTCAGGCACTTGGCAGTTGTGGAATGGTGAGAGAGTGAGAGGACTGCTGCTTTGCCCAGTGATGGATGTACTGAGTAGTGCCAGGAGTTCCTGGGGTTGCCCTTCCTACGCAGCTGCCTGGAGACTTATCTCTCATGGTTGGATGGCAGGGTGACATCTTTGTCAGCTTGCCACTGTGTCTCTTACTTTCCCCAGCCTAATGGAGTTGGGTGAGAAGGATGGCCAGCATGCCAGCTGCCATCAAATGTTATTCCTTCCATGCATCCAGGGAACTTCTGCCCTTAGAATGTCAGGAACCCTCAGAGGAATGGCGGCCAAGGGTCTGTGGAGAAGAGACAGGGTGCATTTGCTTTCTCCTCCACTCTTGTTCTTCACATCAGGGCAGGCTTTTACCGGGGAAGTGAATACAAAGGAGTTTGAGGCTCTCTAATTCTGAAGACCCAACAAGGTAGGTTGCAAACAGGGAGGTGGAGCATGTTGGCACAAACCCAGTGGCATGAGACAGCAATTTCCCTGATGTGTCCCAGTGCTAGTTCCAACTGACTGTGATTCATGTCTGAAAGATGCTCCCCACTTTGTTTTCCTGTGGAAAGACACGGGGTTAATGAGAAGGGAGATGTGCTTAGCTCAGGAGTACATTAGTCACGATGCTACATAGGCTCTCATCTCTGGATGCTCATTCCAAGGAGCCAGCCCACAAATATTTTCTTTTTCACCATGAAAGTAATACATACTCATCATAGAAAATTTCTAAAACATAGGACATTTAAAAGAAGCAATAAAACATTTTAATCATAGCACTGCAATGGTACCAAAACCTCTTCGAATATGAATTCTTAAAAACATGTTTTTTTCTTGAATCATGGCTGAATGTTTCAAGAGAACTTTATTGACATGTACCCAGCACTGAAGTGGACATGGTGGGAGTTACCAGAGAATTTTGTTTCAGGATACTTGCAGTACAAATGGGGAGATGAGAGGAACCTAGGGAAAAGGTGAAAGGGTGAGCTATACATACTAATTCAAAGGGGCACCCACGGGCAGGAAAGTTGGAGGCAAAGATGAGCCTTGACGGATGCAGAGCAGTTTCCTTCCCTGCTCCTGTTGCCCACTCACGCCACTTGCTCTGTGGCTCATCATAACTTGGAGCACACAGGCAACTGCAGAAATGCTTTCAGCGGCTACTTCTTCCTTTTGCAGGTCGTGCTGCTTGGCTTTTTCCTGGTGGAGAGACAGGAGTCTTTTCCCCTCATGATATTATTTATCTTGGTGGAAACTTGAACAAGCTTGAACTCTTAATTAGGGTCACCTGTTTTAAAAACTTCATCCATCCATCCACCCATCCATCTTTTCATCCATCCATCCTACCATTCATTTATATATCCATTTATTAATTTATCATCCATCCATTCATCCATCCAGCCATCCACCCATCCACCCCTCAGCTACCCATCTACCCTACCATTCATTTACCTATCTAGTTATCAGTTCATTTATCCATGCATCTATCCACTTATTCGTCCATGTACCCACCTATCTTTCCATTGTAACTTCATCCACCTACCATTCTACCCACCCAGCTATTTATCCATTAATTCTCCACCCTACCATCCATCCACCCACCCACCCACCTACCTACCCAGCTATCCATCTACCCTACCATTCACTTATATATCTATCCACTTATCAACTTATCCATCCATTCATCTGTCTGTCCATCTATCCATCCAGCCATCCATCTACCCTAGCATTCATTTATCTATGTGTCCATTTATCAACTTATCTATCCATCCATCCATCCATCCATCCATCCATCCATCCAATCAGCCAGTCAGCCAGCCAGTCAGCCATCCACCCATCCACCCTCCCAGCTATCATTTACCCTACGATCCATTTATCAGTTCATTTATTCATGCATCCATGAATCCATCCATTCCTCCACTTATTCATCCATCCATCCATGTACCCACCTATCTATTCACTATAACTCCATTCATTCACCATTCTACCCACCCACCTATTTATCCCTTAGCCCTCCACCCTACTATCTATCCAACCATCTGTCTGCTCATCCATCCACCTATCCAATGGAAGCTATTGACTGAGCACCTACTATATGCTAGACATTATGGTATGCTCTGGAAACACAATGGTGAACAAAACAAGCCTGTTGCCCTTATAATCCCCTCTGGATTTCTATCAACTTTCCTATGAGAGTCCTGATCATAGTTACAGCTATCTTTTTACATGTTAGTCACCCCCACTAGATTATCCTGGACAGTGGGTAGAGGAGGTTTCTTACTCATTTCATTATTCCTTGTGCCTGGTACAAAGTAGTGTGCTCGGTGAGTGTCTGGATGATAAATGGATAAGTGAGTGGTTTCTCCGTTAGACTATCCACTTGTCATTACCATAAGAGTCATTATTATTCAGATGGCTAAAAGATAAGACCTTCATAACTGAAACTAGCCCATTCTATTCAACAAGACAGTTTTAATAAAACCAGCAAATGATTTTTTTTGAGGTTTTACCAAATCAAGGGATTTGATATCTGCGTAATCTCATGGAGACATCTTGTGACGAGTGTCTCTATATCTATACATGTAGTAGATGCTTGAATTGTTGCTAATTTATTTATTTGTTAATTCGACCTAGAATCAATGATTACATACTCTGTACTCCCCAATGAGGCTGGCCAGTAGGATGATTCTTTTTGTCTGATTATTTTATTAGGCTTATTAAGCATCTTGGTGAGCTTGTGTCAACATGTATGGGAATGTTCTAGTGTGGGGAACTCTTCTACAGGGTACAAAGAACTCACAGATGACTAAAAAAAACTCCCCTACCCTTAAATATTATGACATTTCCTTGGAAAGAGGAATGTATGTGTGCACTTGTAAAGACTATCGGACAGTATAAAGCAACCGATCTTAGAAGAGTGAGCAGACAGTTGAAGGTGGTCAGGACAGACTGCCTGGAGAAAGTATATTTTAAAAATTGAACTTACAGCATAGTTTCTTAGTCCAAGGTTGGTGTTAAGGCTCCATGAATATTGTGAAATTGCATGCAAAGAGCCAAGAAAGTGGTTCTTGCCTTTCATTCACTTGGCCTCTCTCCCTGATCTCCCTGACTCTGTTCAACAGCAGAAGAGTGGCAAATGCGTTTTGACTGTGCTCAGATGGAGAATGAGTTCCTCAGAAAGCGTCTACAGCAATGTGAGGAGAGGCTGGACTCAGAGCTGACATCCAGGAAAGAACTGGAACAGAAGGTAAGAGGTAGGGATAGTCTGGGCCACACAGTATCAGGGAATGGGCAGGTTCTCACTTCCACTGTGGGTCATCAAGTTGTTGGCTGATTCTGGAGAGGAAGAAAGAGGACACCATCCATTTCCTGTTTTTCATCGCTACTATTATTGCAAATGCCAGTCACTGAGAGACATGGAACGTATTTTCTTTACTTGTGGGTCTTCTGCCCATGGAGAGACCACTCTGCACTATAAAAACAAAACAAAAAAACTTGAACAGTAACTCAGGACATCTGAGTTCCTGTTCCATCTCTGCTTGACCTTGTGCAAGTCACTTTACCCCAGATTTCTCATCTATAATATACTTGTAATAGGTGGTGAAAATAGTAACATTTTATCTATTCCCATTGTCTCTATTCCAATCTGCTTACCTTCATCCCTCATCCAGACTGGAGCAACGGCCTCCTAACTGGTCTCCTTGTGTCTGGTCTCTCCTCTCAACCCCCGCCACGCTGTAGCCAAGGAATCTTTTAGAGTCTCTTTTGGATTGTTCTGTGATTGCAGAGTATGTTGACTCTCATGGCAGATTCCTTTCCTTGTGTGTTTTGTAAATTTTGATAGTGAGCTCATCTTCAACAGTTCCTTCTGCTTCTACCCCTGTAATCCCAGGTGCTCTGCATTGTGAAATGTTGGTTTTTTCTTTTCTCCTCTGGTGATACATTTTATTTTGTGCAATTAGCTATTTTTTTATTGTGAGGTGATCTTCAGCAGTAGATTTTAATTTTTTTAAACTTTTGATTGATTTAATGGGAGTCCTTTGATAACAGGGCTATGGGTGTGTTCTTCTAAAAGAAACCCTTTTGCACTTTCCTTCTGCAGTAGTCCTTGAGATAATGCTTCATTCTTGGTCTCAGATATTTGTAAAATGTGAAAAATGTCAATTGAATCTCTAACCCCACATGAGGCATAGACCTTTGATTTCTTGTGGGATTATCTCTTCCATCTAGAGCCAGAGTGGAGACAAGTTTTCTTACCACCTTCTAGCCCAGTGGGTGAACTGTTATTGTCCCCTCTCACTGAAATGCAGCTCTTTGAGGGGCCTAACAATTCGAGGGTCTTCACTTCAACTTCCCACTTTCCATGGGCTCAAGGCCTTGTCTCCTGTCTCTATCTGGCCATTCAAACACAAACCTTTATCCTTGGGGATATTTCTGGATTTATCAACTGCTCTTGTCCCTCATCCTGGCAGCCATAAAATCAGCATGTATCATTGTTGTTATGGCTTTGCATTCTGGGTATTTTTGATATCCTGAAATTTCCCTTTCTTTCTTGAAAGTGAAGCTATACAAATTTAGTGTAATCTTACCTGTGTATAATATAATCTTCTCTGGATGAATGTAGGAATAGTCTGGCCTGTTTGCTGTTTTCTATTGTCTCCACTCTAGTTCACGTTCTAACCAGTCCACACTCCAACCAATGGTAGGCTAGTAAATGGCTCTCCGGGAAGAAGAACCCTTGACTTGCAGCACTAGCCAATACGCATGGTGTAAATACTCCCACCATGGCCAATTTCAAACTACCATTGTGATGTCACTGACATGGAATTTGAAAGAGACGCACAACATTGGCTCTCCTAAATCTGCCCCAACTGGCTCCAGCCCACCACTGACTCCAGCTATACCACTTCTTTCTCACCTCTGGGCCTTTGCATATGCTCTTTCTTCTTCCCAGGACAGTCTTTCTTTCTCTCTCCTGCCTAGATATCTCCAACTATTCTTAAGATCCCAGCTTGAACCTTACTCTCTCCAGAAAGTTTTTGCTTATGCAAATTGGGTTGAGAGTCCCTGAATTGTTTCCCAAAATATACACCTTGTTGTGCCGTATTATAATGATCTGCTTACTTCTTGGTCTCTCCCACTCAATGTAAGAGCCATAGGGCGGAGGTCATATTTGCATGTCTATTATATTCTTAAGGTGAGAGAAAAGTATCATGTGATCAGCTTGCAGAGGTAGGCCAGGGTGACACATCACGTAGGACTTTATAACCAGTGGAAATGAGCTTGTATCCTCCATGTTGGTAGTGACGGTTTTAATGGTCACTTTCAAGATGGGCATGGAATTGTGGTCCTCAAGAGACATCCTGAGTCGTAGATAAACAAAGAAGGATACTGGCAAGGAAACAGCTCAGTTCTTTAATAAGAAATTATAAAGTAGGGTCAGTTTCCCTAAGGAAGAAGGATATTCATGCTACATTAAAAAATAATAAAACTGCAACCTTTTCTGAGCGACTGCGTAAAGAAAACATTCCATTTGCCTTCAAATACTGAATTTAGAATTACAGGCTTCATTAACTCAGAGTTTTGCTTATTTAAAGCAATTCTTTAATGAGGCCATTTCTTCAAAGTGAGTGTGCTGAGTTTTTTGCTTCCCCAGATCTAAACTAGGACATTTGGGAGGGTGTTTCCTGGAGTAAGATGCAAGAGGCTTTGCTTTTCTGTTTATTTAAGACTATGTGCATCCCCGTGTAATTCAGCTCAGCTGAAGCTCCGTTCGCTGCTTTTACCTTTAAGGCCTGGTTTGCTGGGTTAATGGGATCTCTTGGGTTTGCTGGTCAGTTTTCTACATGTGTCATTTTTGGCTGTTCCACAGCTAATCCCCATCTATCTTCCCTGGTCATGCCAGCTGATGGGGACATGAGTTATACGGTGCTCAAGGGGCAGAGCAGATAAATAGGTTTATAGTTTTATGGAAGAAAAATAAAAGCGACCCCAAGAGATTGATGGAATTATTCCTATTTTACCTCTGAGCAAACTGAGCCTGAAAGAAGTAGCTTTCTGGAGGTGGCACATGTAGAAAGTAATCCAGACAGGGCTCCCCATTCCTGTGTCTACTGTTTTTCTTTATGACCTTGGCAATGGCAGCTCCTTCAAATACAAAGTGAAAGCCCATTCAGCACCAACAGGGCCTGGTAATTCATTCTGTAACTCTCACAGCTCGGGGAGCTGCAAAGTGCTTATGAGGTAGCCAAGAAGACAGCTCACCAACTGAAGAGGAAGTGCCACTATCTGACTTGTGACCTGGAGGACACCCGCATCCTGCTGGAGAACCAGCAAAGTCGCAACCATGAGCTGGAGAAGAAGCAGAAGAAGTGAGTCATGTCCCCCATCATACCCTGGGCTGCCAGTGCGGGCTGCATTGATGTTGGGGTCCTCTGGGATGTCCCAGGATCTCCTCCTAACCCCCTTACTTCTGCCAGGCCTTTTCTGTAGGGTTTAATTCCCTTCTTCTGCTCTAATCTCCCTCCTCCTCCCCTCACATCTCATTTCTGTATGATTCCCCCAAGAAACCAGCAAGAAATGATTCTTTTCTCCTACCCTAACGCAGCCTCACCTGCATTACCAATTGACCATGTGACCTTGGGAAACTGTCTTGGCCTCTCTGGGCCTCAACACATCCCCATTTGTTAAGTGAAGAGTTCATTGTGGAGGGTCAAGACAGTCTAGTGTGGTGGCACTGATATTAACGTCATCACAGCTCAAGTCCCAGTAGTGTCTCTCTCTAGCTGTGTGACCTCAGGTAGGCCATTCAGACCTTCTCAGCCTGATTCCTTATTGATAGGTTGGGGATGAGATTGCCCCCTTGTGGTGAGGACTAAATGATATGGGCAGGAGAATCAGGAGGAGGCTAATAATAATAATAATAATAAAATAGTAATGATAATAACAAAATAAACTAAAGTCCCCACCATTCTCATTTAGGGACTCTCAGAGCACATGAGCAATTCTGGAAGAGGCTGGGCTTTTGCACCAAGATGCCCACCTCGAGTCCGTACAATGGATCCCCTGCTTGCTTTCCCATTGAGATGCTGTCATAGCCAAATGATGGTGGAACCTGGATTGGTACCCAGGCCTGTGCACCCATGAGTTTCCAGATGCAGAACCTCAGCACCTGTGATGCTTTTTTCCCCGCACAACTTGACTGTGTCTAAAGTTCTCAGCTCACTTGGTGAGGGTGATGGTGCACAGGGGTCCTGTTTAGAGCCAGGAAAACCCTAACAGAGACTTCATAGAAGGCAGATAGGTGGAAATCAGCCCCCTTTATAGAAGACAAAGAACAGAGAAGCATTTCTCTGTGAGCTAAAGTGGTTTTGCCGAAGGTACCTCTTTTCCAAGAGGTAGCAAGCAGAATTACATGGGTGTAGCATAGACTTCAAACCTGACCTGCACTAAATATAATTTCTTTCATTTATCCTTCAGCTTTTTTGAGCTGACTTTTTCATCAAAAAAAAAGGGTCTTTTGGGGTTGTTAGCATGTGTCCCCAAATAAGAGAGTTTTATTCTCTTTTTATTGATGTTGTACTCTGTCCCCTTTTCTACCGCCCCGCGAGTGCTCTGGCTAAACCTTACCCTTGCAGTGGGGAAAACAGCTCCACTCCACCTTGGCCACTTACTGTGTGACCTTGTCAAATGACATTGCCTGTCTGAGCCAGAGAATTACTGATGTTTCAGAAGTGACCTTGGACTTAACAGGTCTCCCGATACTAAAGAATGGCTCTGGTAGACCCCATTTATAAAGTAAGAGGTGTGGACTCCCTCATCCCCCAGGCTTCTCCCAGATGTGACCCTGCTGGTCCTCAACTGGTCCTGTTTTGAGATACTTTCTGGAATTTGTGCAGCCATCTCTGTGTTCTTTCCCTTTGGGCAAAATCCCTTATTCCAGGGACTTACCAACTTCCCCATGATGCCCCCTCAGGAAAATCCCCATTTCTCCATACTTGTATTTCCTCCTCTCAAAACTTACTTTTTCCTGATGCTGCCATCTCTTGGCAGAAGCTAATTTATGTTTGGATGCAAATTACAGATCACAAGCATTACCTTTCCTGGTGGATTTGCATTTTAGTAGGAGGCCCAAGGGGGCAGCAGAAGTCTCAGTCTGATGGTGGAATGTGAGGGGGAGAAATCAGGAGCACTTCATACATCTCTCTGTGCTTAATTAACTTGGAGATGCAGCTGCCTTCTTAGTTGGAAGGGCCCAGGATGGTGTGATGTCTTCTCGCAGGTTGAGTTCCCCATCCCTCCTTTGCTTCTAAGTTCAGAATAGCCCAGAATGGTTCAGTTTGAGGTTGACTTCTTATTGTCATGGTTACCCTGTGGATCACAAGGCTTGATTCCAAGGACTGATAGAACACTTGTGGTGAAGTTCATTGACTCCTGCACTCAGGGGAGATTAGATCCAAGGTCCACTCCCAGTGGGGTGACAGGTGCGTGCAAATCCATCTGACCTCAGACTGTTGGTCAGTCAGCGTGTGCTTGGAGTCGGGTCTACGGGAGCTGTTCTTAGGCATCAGGTGGTCTGTTGAGTCAAGGATGCCTCTGCAGCATCAGTCATTGTCTAACTCCCCACATCTACTGTCTCACCTCACTTGTTCCAGGGATAGACAGGTAGATGGGGACTAGCTAAGACACTGGGGAAGCTGGGCTCAGGCCTACTTTGACCACTTTGGAATTTGGGGCTGAATCATTCCTCCTTGCTGAGCTTCAGTTTCCTCCTATGCAAAAAGATATAATATATTTCATGCTGGATTGCTGTAAGGACTACATGGACCCCAGCCCAGGGCCCGGCACACTGGGACTGCTGGGTCATCATTCTGCTCATGTTTCCATTCACACGAGGCAAATAGCACCTCATGAATGATGTCACCAACAGCCAATCAGAAAGCTCCTAGGCTGTTCCAGTGGGAGAGCTCCCTTCTGTGGTCCGTGGTGGGCGTTCTCAGGAGTCTGGGACTTTGAATGACCATCTGGTATTAAGGGACATTGGATAATATTGTAATAAGGGAGACTCACTTGTCACCAAAGCCTGAGCCCCACACCCAGCTCTGCCATATCAGTGTCTCTGGAGCAATAAGACTTCCTGCTTGGGCTGAGGGCAAGTGACTCAAAGTCACACTTGACAGAGGATTGGCAAAGCTTCCTCTCATAACCTCCTCATCTGTGATAAGGCCTGAGGCTGAGACAATAAACAGAAGGATATAAAATCCAGAAAGTGCTTCTTATCCAGGGCCTCACAGAGAGGAAGGAGGGCCCCAGGCAAGGCATTTCTGAATTCCCTGAAGGACTCCCAGTAGGACTGTGTAGTCTTTGTGTTTTCTGCTTGAGTAACAAATGTGCAAGACTGAATGTATAGATGTCAAGCATTTTTATCAATAATTAGCATACCTCGGTATGGCCTGTGAGAGTATGAGCCAGGCAATATGATGTAAAATATGAAATGCAGAATATCTTTGTTTGTGTGGGTATTTACATCTCTGTTGATAATCTTCATTCATTAGTATATTGGTCAGTTGATATTGGATCTGACTGGGACTGGTAGAGTGAAAGGGACTTGACATATTGTTGGCAAACCACATATGTCAACTTTTTCTATATATCTTTTATTCTATATCTGTGTACAGTTTTATTCTATTTTTATTTTGTCTATTTTTAACAAGTATCAAGTATTTTTGTGGAGGCTCATCCACATTCTTACATGGAACCATTGGGCAAGCCCTTCATTTTTTCCTTCTCTCTCTTTTTAAAATTTTATTTTAAAATTATGGAGTACAGTGAGGTTTTACTACATTGTAATTGTAATAAGTAAATTGCATGCAGGTGAGATTTGGACTTCTAGCAGAGAACCACAAGAAAAAGAGTGTGAGCTAGCAAGAGAGAGAGAATGACTATCAGGGGAGAGAGGGTCCTTGCTCTCACTCTCTCAGGGTTCTCAGTGAACTAGCTGCCTCTCTCCAGCCCCTCCCTACCTCTGACTGGGCCCCCCACTCTCCGTCATGGTGCAATGACACATGTTCTGTTTTGGACAGGTTCGACCAGCAGCTGGCCCAGGCCCTGGGTGAGTGTGTGTTTGAGAAGGGCCTCCGTGAGAAGGTGACCCAGGAGAACACCAGCATCCGGTGGGAGCTGGGCCAGATCCAGCAGCAGTTGAAGGTGAGGGATGAGGGCCATAGAGCCATCTAGGCTCTTGGTTGCCGGCCTTCAGGAACTCCCCCCATGTACCTACTGCAAATGGTGACAGGGAGAGAACTCTGCGTGGCTGTCTTGGTCTGTCATGCACTTGGAGTCAGGGTCCCAGTATGTCTTAGTAAAATAACACACAGTAGCTGGCAAGTTGATAATCAGACCTCCTGATTTTGATGTCATGGTGTTGCTCCTGTCACCTGCACAGGATCCAAGATGTCTACCTGGGAGGTGTTTGAGAGGCTCAGCAGAGAATGAGTATAGCCTTGTCCAGGTGCAATGCTCTGGTCCAGGCAGGTTTCCATGCAGAGGGATTGTGTTAAGATACATCCTGTGGCCTCACTTGGCTGCTCCCATCGGTCTGTGACTTCCTATGTCTCCCAGGAGGGCCTCAAACCTGTAAAGCCTGGCATACAGCTCCTTCATGATCTAACCCAAGGTTATTTGACCCTGGAGCTGCTTTTCTAGAAGAGTCACCTGTGGACACCTCGCCTCCCTGCCCCAGCGTCTCACCGCCAGCCTCAACAGGCGCACAGAAGCTTTAGTTACCTGCTAGGCTTCCCTTACAAATGAACCCAGGCAAATCAGGTCAGCGCTTCTGTATGTGCTGAGCCCTAATTCTAGGGGTAGTGGTGTTGCTCTGCCCCAGTCCCATCGCCCCGCACTCCACCTCCAGGCCTGTCTGAGCGTCCCAGAGAGCAGCCCTCGCGGGTGTCCCACAGGGGGCGCTGAGGCAGACCGCGAGGTGCAGGTGGCGATGGGGTGCGTTGGAAAGTGGAAGGCGCCACCCCAGCAGTGGGTAGGGGGACCGGGGCGGGGGCAGAGGGAAGGAAGAGGTGGGGTGCGGCGTGCTCATGCCCCCTTTGTCTCTGTAGCAAAAGGAGCAGGAAACCTTGAAGCAGCAGCGGGAGTTGGAGATGCTGCAGGACCATCAACGAGAGCTGGTGGGGTCACCCTCTCTCAGGGAAAATTCCGTTCCTGTCCTGAAGGAGAAGCTCTGGAAGCTGGAATCCCATGCCCTTGAGCAACAGAAAGTCCAGAGCCAGCAGGAAAACACCATCAAGCAGCTGGAGCAGGTAGGAAAACCCAGTCTGAGGGTGACGCCATGTCCCATGCTGGCTCCAGCTCAGAGCGGTGTTTTTAAATACGACACGGGCTAGGCGCGGTGACTCAAGCCTGTCATCCCAGTACTTTGGGAGGCCGAGGGGAGAGGATTGCCTGAGCTCCAGGGTTCAAGACCAGCCCGGACAACTTGGCGAGACCTTGTCTCTACAATAAATAAAAAATACATAAGCTGGTCATGGTAGCGTGTGTACTTACATGGACTGCTGAGGTGGAAGGATCACCTGAGCCTAACAGGTCGAGGCTGCAGTGGCTGTGAATGTGCCACTGCACTCCAGCCTGGACTGCAGAGTGAGACTCTGACAAATAAGTGTACATATATATATTCACATATTTTATATATATATATGACATGGATGCCTCACCTGACTGCTCCTCGTCCTTTTGTGGCTCCCTCATACCCTGGAGATCCTTTAAGTTCCTAAGTCTGACTTTCAGATCCTTCATGATCTAGCCTTCTCCTACCATCCTGCAAGGTTCAATGTTACTTCCTCAGAGGAGCCCACCTTGATGACCTGGTAAATAGCTCTACCTCCATGCCACATTGATTTTCTATCTGCTTAGCCCATTTGTTGTTCTTTATAGTAACTGCCATCACATGAGAATCACATCAAAATAATACAAATAATATAAATAGGATTACAAATGATAGAAGTTTGATCAATACTACTCTCTCTCATTAGGATGTAAAGCCTCATGAAGTCAAGTTTTTTAGGTGATCTTGCTTGTTAGTGCATCCCTAGAGCCTAGAATGAGACCAGGCACATACCTGAGACTCAATGAGTGACTGTTGACCCAATAGCTAACATTTACTGAGCACTTGCTGGGTACTCAACTCAGCCCTAAGCTGTCCCCCCAAACCTTCTCATGAATCTCCACAAAAAAACCCTATGTGAGAAGATATTCGTATTATCCCCACTCTACAGATGTGAACGCTGAGGCTCAGAGACATAAGAACAGTGTCAAGGATGGGATTTGGAATGTGTGTCATCTGACCCCACGCTGCCTTGAATGCCTACTGTGTGCACTGCATTGTGTGCAACCTCGAGGAAGATTGGAATCCTAGTCTTTGGGAAATACAAAAAAAGGCGGGGGAGGGGGAAGACAGGGATGCCAAATATTCTTGTACTAGCGCCCTCAGTGAAGTACTAGAAGAAATCTGATTTGTCTGCTTGCTTATTTATGTCCACCTCCTTCTGAAAAGAATTTGAGGCAGCTTACCAGATATATACATAATAAGATAAAAAAAATTATAAGGAAAACAATCCAAGCCAGAAAAATATAAATAAAAACAGACACTAAGGAGAGGCTGGGCACAGTGAATTAATATGCAAATACATAAAGCATATGCTCTTGCCCATATTACAGTTTTAGCTCTCAAGTTCCTGGTGGCCAGAGAGAAAAAGGAAATGTGAGTTATATGCTTTTTATGATCCCCAAGATAGAAATCAAACCAATTTTTCAAGGGGAAGTAAGGCTTTTTCTGATGCTTAACTCTGAAGAAATTTCTCAAGTGGGATTTTGTAAATGGTGATTATTTTAAAGCGGTTTTTTAAAGGCTGGGACTCTCTTATGCAAGACAATCTGACACGGTGGTATGAATGTGTCAAGCAGATGAACTCTGAGCTTTGTGAAAGTTGGCTGAACTGGGTGAGCCAGGGGCCAGCCCTTGCTTCCTGCTCACACTGTGGGTGTGGAGGAACAGGGTCTGGAGAGACTTGGATGCTCATTAAGGACCAGGAAAGAAAACAGGATCCTTACCCACCCAGCCAAGCCGTATTTGTTAAGCACCTCCTCTGTGTCAGACATCCCACGAATGCTAAGGATGCAACAGTAAACAAGACAGACAATCTCTACCCTCCCCAAATTCACAGTCATGCTGAGTGCTACCAGAGCGTTTATCTTACAGATCTGCTGTTAGGAGCCAGGTTCGAGGAGAGATCAGGGAAGGCTTCCTGGACAAAGTGACATTTCCTGAAGCTGAAAGTCGGAGGTTGAGCCAGAGATGATTGAATGAGAAAGTTCCGGGCAGGTTGAACAGGAGTCAGGACGGTCATAGGACATTTAAGGAGCTGTAACATGGGGTCTTTGAGGCAGCTCATTGTCTGTCTGACCTCAGGAAAGCCCTGGTTTTCTCTAGACTTCAGTCTCTTCATCTGTACAATGAAATATAGGGCCTTATCAATCCCCCGGCTCCTTGCCAACCCCAGCTATGGATCTCTGGGCGTCTGGGTAGGTCTTTAAAGGGCATGGAGCGTCTGGGTAGGTCTTTAAAGGGCATGGAGGATGGGGTGGCATCATGTAGCCATCCAGCATTCAGTAAACAAGCAGGATGCTCACAGAGCCCAGAAGAAAGCAAGCATGTTTTGAAAAGTGCTTTAACTTTTTAAGATGCCACAGGGGCTTGGAAACGGAAATGTACTATACCATGACCTCAGGGACCCCAAAGATAATGCAGTTTCCTGAATTTCCCCCCGACTTACCCAGAAGGAGAGGCTAACTCAACACTTTTATCCATTTTCAGCTTCACCCACAATCTCAGGCCACATTGTACCCTTGTAGACAACCAGTAGATAGTTATTGATTATAATAGGGTACTTTTTTCCCAAGAATTTTATGTTAACTCATATAAGTTTGACATAAATGTGATTGCAGATATCAAGAATGTCCAAGAGACCAGAAAAAATGAAAAAGATATATTTACTTGCTCAGGCTTCTTGGTTTGGATTATCTCCCCACAACCTCTGTCATTTTAAAGGAGGGAAGGAAGGAATTTGACATTTAAAGTGAGCCTACTTTATGCTGGAAACTGTATCAGGGCTCTGACGTACCTTCTCCTTTTTGCTTTTCATCACTGTCCTACCCAGCGGGGAATATTACCAACATTTTGAAAGACCAAGACTGTTTTTTTTTCTGTAATTTCCATGTTAAGGACAGCAGTTGTGAACTTCTGGAAGCTTAGTGAGAGGTGCAGGACTGTACAGTCAATGGTTGGCGAGTTATCATTTCTATAATGTAGCGCATCTTTTCCAAGGGGTTTCAAATACTTCTTCATGGACCAAAGTCATGGAAGAGTATAGATAAGTGAAAGCTTTCAGGTACAGAATTTTTGTTTTTTTTTTTTTTGAGTAGCCCAGGCTGGAGTGCAGAGGTTCACTCACAGCCACCGCAGCCTTGACCTGCTGGGCTCAGGCAATCCTTCCACCTCAGCTTTCCAAGTAACTGGAGCTGCAGGCATATGCTACCATGCCTAGCTTATTTTTTTTTAATTTATCGTAGAGACGAGGTCTCACCAAATTGCCTAGGCTGGTCTCAAACCCCCGGGCTCAGGCAATCCTCTCACCTCGGCCTCCCAAAGTCCTGGGATTACAGGGTAAGCCACTGCACTCAGCAAGGTACAGATTCTTGAGTCCAGTGCACAGAGGATTCTGATCCAATAGGTCTAGGATGAAACCCTACAACTTAAGTGTTTTAAAAATGCAGCTGGAGGCCATTTTTCTCAGTGAATTAACACAGAAACAGGAAAACCAAATACAGCGTGTTCTTACTTATTGGTAGGAGATAAACACTGGGGACATATAGGCATGAAAATAGAACAGCAGACACTCAAGGTTCCAAAAGGGGTGGGAAGGAAGGGGGCAAGGGTCAAAAATCTGCCTACTGGGTACCATGTTCACTGTTTGGGTGGCTGGCTCAGTGGTAGCTCCAACCTCAACGTCGCGCATAGCCATGTCACAAACCTGCTCATGTACCTTTTGAATTTAAAATTTTAAAAAATACATTATTAATTCTAATGTACCACACAACTTGAACTAGAACTGGAAACCATGACTTTGCCTTTGATTTTAGAACCGTGTCTACAACTCCACACAGTTTTAGTATTGGGCACAGCTCTGCCTGCTGTTCACATGCTTTGGAGACTCTTGTGTAAAAGACTCACCTCTTTCATGGGATCATAGCTCTTAGTTATGTTAGGCTTCCAGGAAGGGAGGGGATCGTCTTTGCTTTCTGTTTTCAAAATAATGCGGGAAGAGAAAGTAATATTTATGTGTCAGACACTGTGCTAGGTGCATTATATGGGCCACCTCACTTAATTCTCATAGCAGCCTTCCAAGATGGTTGTTTTCTACAGAAAAAGGGAATGGATCTAGAGACAAAGTGAATTGTCCAAGACAGCATCTTGGGCAAGTTACCTTCCTCTCCAGGCTTTAATATTGCCATAACTTTTGTCCTACAATCCTTCCACCCATCAAAGAAAAAAAAACATTGCTGGTACCTGTTTCAGGAATGAGAAACTTATTTCATCTTGAGGGTGGAGAAGGATTATGAGGTATATTTAAATTCAGTGGGAGAGTGGGATTGATTAGTGATGTCTGTTATAAGCACAGGAAGGGATAGAGGCGGTCTTTAGGTTATTTATCTACCCAAAGGCCTTTTGACCTTCCAGGGTACCTAGGGAGGTAACTTGACTCTCATTTATGCATTCCAAAAATGAAAATGTAATTGGAATGTCAAGGATGACAGGAAGGACCAGGAAACTTGGAGGGGGTCATGCTCACATGCTGTTCTTGCTGTCTCCCAGCTCCGTCAGCGGTTTGAGCTGGAGATCGAACGGATGAAGCAGATGCACCAGAAAGACCGTGAGGACCAGGAGGAGGAACTGGAGGATGTCCGTCAGTCCTGCCAGAAGCGGGTATGTGAGCAGTGAGCACAGTCATGCTGTTGGGTCCTGGCAGGCCCAATCTGGATGCCTTCTTCATCAGAGTGAGGAGGAGACCAGGTTCCTTCTGCAACCACCTGAGACCTTACCTCCTGAGGTGCCTTCCAGGGTGTAGGAGCAGAAGCATCTGTCTTTAGTATGATCTTAGAACTTCCAGAAGCCTCTGGAACTATCTGGCTTAATCTTCCAGAGATTTCTACCAAGAACCCATAATGGCCCCATGATTGATGCCTTGGGTTAGGACTTTTAGGTTTCAATAATGGGACTAGTCCCTCAAATCATTTCTTACATTTATCCAAGTTCCTTGTAAACATTCCAAACTGTATACAAAAGCAACAAACCATTGAAATTATACCACCTAGAAGCCATCATTATTACTATTTTAAATGTTCTTTTATCTCTCTATCATTATATATACACACAAACATTTTCAGAGATGTCATTTTCACTAGATGAGGTCATGCTGTTCTGAAGCCTGCTATTTCCCCTCAGCAGATTGTTGTGGCCTCTTTTCACATCTGTAAATACAAATCTCACTTATACATTTAGTGGCATAACAGTATTGCTCCCTAAGCAATACTGCTCTGATATACTCAACAGATCCCCTATCATTGGACATTTAGGTTGTTTCCATTTTTCTGCTATTATAACCAAGACAAACATCCTTATAGATGTACTGACTGATAGAAATGTAAGGTAAATCCTGAAAGTGGGATTGCCAGAAAGCTTTAGGTTAAGCTTCATTTAACAGATTCCCACACTAATTCTAGCATGACTTCACCTCTCTCTTCTCCCCCCGTTATATCTGAAAATGTCACATGGAAATATTGTACAAAACACTCTCTGGAAAACTTTGTCTTCCTTGACATATAGTTTTTATTTTGTATATTTTTTGAAATGATTTTTAGCTTTTTCGGTCTTCAGTCTAAAAACAGATATAAGCAGAGTGCCTTGTATTTTTCACTGTTAAAAGAAAGTTTTGAAATGAACTTACCTTCTACAGAGGTGACCGTCAATCAGTACATTTTCCCTCTATGGGTCAGGAAATGGAAGCCCCTAGTCCTTGCTCATGTTTTTAGGTGAAGGTTGCACAAATATCTGATCTGTTCCAAGAATGCCTCAAAAGTATGGTGAGTACCCTGAAACAGGGCTCCAATGAGTTAGAGATATGACCCAACCAGACCCCCTTGAAGTATTTCTATGGACAGATTTATAAAGGGAAAGAATGAAGTCAGAGAACAGTGTTTTTCTCCTTATGACAGACACTGACATTGACTTTGCATTTTAGTGACTGCTCTCTTCAGTTTATCTCACCTTGGCAGGAAATCAATTGTTGGTGACCTGGGTGGGAATGCTGGGGCTGTCTGGGGTGGAAAAAGGAACTGAGGCCATGAGATGGAACACTAATTCCTCTAAACAACAACTGATTTAGTAGGATAAACTTCAGATTCTCCTGGGACTTAATTTGCCCATCTGTGAAATAGGGTCCCTGATGGCATAAGATGGAGATGGAGGATGGTGATGTGGTAATATATACAAGAGAGGCTGGTGAGGGGTTCTTCAAAGCACAGCTACAGAGGGGTATTCACTCTAGTGGAGAATGCCTGTGTTTGCTGGGTAATCACTGATAAATCAGAGCCACCTGTAAATTGAGTAAGTTGCTCATAGTCAAATGTTTTAGTTTGGGCTACTATAGCAGAATACTCTAGACTGGGTGGCTTAAGTAGCATACATTTATTTCTCCCAATTCTGGTGCTGGGGAGTCTGAGATCAATGTGCCAGCAGACTTGGTGTCGGATGAGGTCTCCCTTTTTGGCTTGCAGATAGCAACCTCCTGGTTTTTATCCTCATGTGGTAGAGAAAGAGAGAGAGAAGAAAACTCTTTGGTGTCTCTTCTTATAAAGGCATTAATCTCATCCTGGGAGCTCTACACTCATGGATCCATTTAAACATAATTATCTTTGTAAGGCCCCTCCTCCATCCCCCTGGGATTAGAGCTTTAACATATGAATACTGGCGGGACATGAACAGCATATAACACCAAATAATCTCAGATGCAACTTTTTTTTACTGCATCATAGTATATTTAATAAGAAGTGAATGCATTTTCACATGTTGGCTATAATGTTCTACAGAACCCTAACAAAATCAAAGTGCCAAGACTTGTAAATATTCAAGCAGTGGGCATGGTGGAACTGGAGGAGGGGTCTTTGCTGTCAATAGCAAGGGGCTCCCCACAATTCACCAGCCTGCCCTGTGGTTGTCCAGCTCCTAAGCTTTTAAGCTCTGGAGTTTTCCAACAAAGATACACCCTCCCACTTGCTAGGGTAGCCTTTGTGGAGCAAAACCACAAACTCTACATTCCTCTTCCTCCCAAGGGTCCCTACTTGGTGGGATTTGTCTGGATAAAGCTCATTCCCCCTGTGTACAAATCTGTCCTGTGTATCCATAGCTCCGTCAGCTGGAAATGCAACTGGAACAAGAATATGAAGAGAAGCAGATGGTCCTCCATGAGAAACAAGATTTGGAAGGCTTGATCGGAACCCTCTGTGATCAGGTAAGCGGAAGACATCAGCAGACATTTGGAAGGACATACTTCCTGCCTCTGGGCCCTGTTAGAGAGATGGACTGTGGGATATCAGCTGGGAGAGAATCATCTTTGGGTCTTCAGGAAAGGCCAAAAAAACAGGTCTTTCAGCTGGCCTGTTCCTCCTTCCCCTAAATGCCTTGTTCACCATGAACTCCATTTCCACCATGCTCACTGGCTCTTCAGAGGAGATCTTGAGGAGCAGGGCTTTCAGAGGGGCAGGGCTTTGAGTGGAGCCTCTGGGAATGAACAGAGTAGGCCCAGCCAGGAGCAGTAGATGGGGTTGTCTTGCCTTCAGCAACTGTGGGGTAAGAGTGTAGACCGTGCTTGCTTCAGAGGTGAGAATGTGAATGTATTTGTAAATACAGTGAATAAATTTGGGGGAGGATATTAACAGAAAGGCCACGATTCTCTTAGTGAGAACATTACTTTTGCTAGAAGCACCCAGACTTGGAGTCATGGAAGTGTTGCTTTCAGCCCTAGTTGGGTCCTTTTGGTCTACATGGCCTTTGAGTGAGTTAGTGAGTCACTCTGCGTTTCTGGAGTGCAGAGCCTCTTGGAGTTGCTGCCATAAATGTCCTGGGATTCTCATCTGCTGTGCTATGGACATTTTGAGATGAACGTTCTTTGTGGTAGGAAGCTATCCTTGCATTGTAGGATGTTGAACAGCATCCCTGACCTTTACCCACCCTGACTTCTGCCCACTAGATGCTGGTAGCACACACTGTCCCCAGTTTTAATAGCCAGAAATGTCTACGGACATTGCCAAATGTCCTCTGGGTACAAAGTCAACCTGCCTCCCTACAGAGAGCTGCTGCCATACCAAAGAAGCCAGCAGAGCTCAGAGCCAGTTTCGGATGTCAAAATGGCAAGAAATTGCTCTTCCATCCCCAGAATATTCTTTTCCATGCCTGTGCTGCTACATGAAGCCTTAACATTGGCAAGAAATGCCTGTGGCTCCTACAATGTCTTGTAAAGTATCATAGGAGTGTATTTTAATGTATTTGCTTAACGTGGGCTCAATGCCTGCTAATTAGTAATGGCCTTACTGTCAGTATCTCTCCCCAAGTTCATTCACTGTATTTATAAAAGAATGTAGGTCCACCTCAGATGATTATCTAGGGCAACCAGATCTTGGTTAAAATAGGTGCTCATTATATATTTAAAAGTAAATGAATCAAGTTGGTGAATTCCACAGCAGAGCCATCATAGCAGCAAGAGTGAGAGTTAGATGCTGAGGGAAGCAACAGCAAGATGTTATGATCTTCCTTTTTCTCTGGGTTTTCTAGTTTTCCCACCAGGGAATTGTGACTTTTGGATTCACAGCTATCGAGGGTGCTTTTCTGTAGCATCAGTGCAAGAGAGCACAGCCCAGTACTAGATTCTAAAATAATAGTCAAGAATCACTGGGAGAAGTTTGTGTTCCACTGAGCAAACAGAGTAGGTAATCCAGTCAAGAAAAGTTTGTATAAACATTGCTAAAATAAATGTTACAAGCAAAGGAAAGGTAAATTTAGAAGAATAAAACTTCAGCTTTCTGTTATATACCAAGCTAGGGCCTTTTAATAAATTATCATATTTGATGATTTAAATGTTTTTGTTATGACCTTTGCCAAACATGTGCATCAAGCACTCAGGGTTCACATAAATTAACATTTTGTCATATTTAATTCAGATGTTTTTAAGGAAACAGAACATCTCAAAACCAATTGATGGCCTCTTGGTGTCCCTCTAATCTCACCTCTCTCTCTCTTTCCTCCTGCTTTCTCCCTGCCCAGAGGAAACTGTTGACTGAGAGTGAAGTGTGTAACTCCTCTGTATTTCTCTTCTGACGTTAGCCATATAGAGTATATATGACTCTGTGCTTGACTTTGTTCCTCTATATTATGTTTTCGCGATGAGTCTGTGATAATACATGCCGCTCTAATTAATTAATTTAACTGCTACACAATGTTCATTTAAAAAACCCCATTTTTCTGCTGGTAAATATTTAGCTGTTTCCACCTTAAGACACACACTGCAGTACATAATGTTTATGTGTGTCTCACTTTGCACACGGATCAGCACATCGACCAGAGTTTCTCTGGAGTATGTAGCTAGAGGAGGAATTGCTGGCTCCCAGACATGTATAATTTTGGAGTTATTAAATATTGCCCAAATTGTTCCCCAAAGTGAAAGTGGCAGTTTCTGCTGTCAGCAGCAGTGTCTGAGGTTTGGTTTCTTCTCACCCCTGCCAATATGTGGCACTGTTAGATATTTTATCTTTTTTTCCAGACATTGGGTATTAAATGGTACCTCATACCCCTCGTTACCAGTGAATTTATATATATTTTTTCTTACGTAAGTTTCTTGTTTGTTGTCTTTTATGTCCTTTTGTCATTAATCATTCATGACCTTCATACAAGTTACTATTCCATTTTGGGTTATGTATTTTGCAAATATCTCCTACACTATAGATAATCATTTTGCTTTGTTTATAATATCCCTTGCTTAATAAAAATATTCCTTTGTGTAATAAAAAATGTTTTTAATATAATCATGTTGATCAATTAATTTTCATGGTTTGTGCTATTATATCTTAAAATATCTTTCCTTAACTAGAGTTTATAAAAATATGTCACCATATTTCTTAAAAGTTCTAAAGTATTGTTTTTGACATTTTTAGGTCTTTAATCCATCTAGATTTTATTTAGGAGTATAGTGTGTGATAGGAATCTATTCTTCCCTGACATGGATAAACTTGGTCTCATAAAGAATTTTCTTCCACAATCTCCATATATGCCTGGGTGTGTTTATGACTCCCCGTTCTGGTTCATTCGTTTGTTCCTGCACACATGGTCGGAATGGCTGGATTTTGATAACTTGTAGCACAACTTATCTTGCTTGTCTTTAAAATTGCCTGTTTTCTTGATCCTTTAATCTTCTTATTTAGATTCTATAACAGCACCTGATGTGATTTTTATTGGAAAGGCATTGATTTACAAGTTAGTTGGGAGCAATGAACATTTTTTATATTGAACTATTATATTATTGCAAAGGTCATCTCTTCATTCATTTATGGATTTCATTTATGGAATCATCTCTCTTCATTCATTTATGGATTTCCACACAGGTCTTGGACTTTTTGTTAGCTTTCCATAGCTATTATGAATAGACTATTTTCCTGTATTCTGTATTTTAGTTCATTATTGTGGCACATGAAAATAATATTGATTATTATATGTTGATCATATGTTGTTCCCAGAAAACTTGCTGAATTTTTATTATTTTTCTTATTTTATCTGTAGAGTCTTTTTTTTTTTTCATTAATCAGTATTTTTTATTATGGTTTTGTGGGGTATAGTTAAGGGTTAGGAGTACAATTACATTTCATTCAGGCACCCTGTTGATAAGAGGTGTTTTCCCATCCCCTGACAGATATTTGCTACTGTTAATCCCATCCTCCTCCCCCCCATAGTTTCCCAGTACCGTCAGTCATTTTCTTATAGTATTGCATTGGATGTTCAAGGTCCATTATATGAGTGAGAACATGTGATATTCGGATCTTTGTTTCTGTGAGAGGTCACTCAGTATTATAGACTCTAGTTCCATCCAGGTTGCAATGAAATTCGTGATTTTGTTCTTTTTTATGGCTGCATAGTATTCCATCGTGTATATGTACCACATTTTTTAAATCCAATCCTCTTTTGATGGGCAGCATGCTTGTTTCCAGGTTCTTGCTATTGTGAACAACACTGCGATAAACATATGTGTGCAGGTATCTTTTTTATAGAGTGATTTGTGTTCTTCAGGGTATATTCCCAGTAGGGGGATTGCAGGTTCATATGGAAGGTCAATTTTTAGAGCTTTTAGGAATCGCCACACTGCTTTCCACAGAGGTTGCACTAGTTTACACTCCCACCAACAATGTAGAAGTGTTCCCTTTTCACCACACCCTCTCCAGCAGCTGTTATTTTTTGAGTTGTTAATGATTGCCATTCTGACTGGAGTTAGGTGGTATCTCAGTGTGGTTTTGATTTGCATCTCCCTGATGATTAGTGAGGTTGAGCATTTCTTCATGTGTTTGTTGGCTGCTCGAATGTCTTCTTTTGTGAAGTGTCTGTTCATATCTTTTGCCCATTTTATAATGGGGTTGTTTGTTTTCTTCTTTTCAGTACATTTCAGTTCCTTGTAGATCCAGGATGTTAAGCCTTTGTCAGACCTGGTGTTGGCAAATACTTTTTCCCAGTCTGTAGGCTGTCTCCCTGCTCTCTTGATGGTTTCTTTGGCTTTGCAGAAGCTTGTCAGTTTAATAAGATCCCATTTGTCTATCTTCTCTCTTAAGTCCTGTGGGTTTCGGGTTTTGTACAGGAATTGGATGCCAGTTCCGATTTCCATGAGAGTATTTCCTTCCTTTTCTAAGGTTCTTATGGTTTGAGGTTTTACATTTAGGTCCCTGATCCATTTGGAGTTAACCTTTGTGCATGGGGATAGAGAGGGGTCCTGTTTCAATCTTCTGCATGTGGTCAGCCAATTTTCCCAGCACCATTTACTGAAAATAAGAATAGTGTTGCCTCTTGACCATGAATTAGGGCAATGAAGAGATCCCAACAATTTCAAAGAAAAAATGTTATACTTTTTACCTCTTCTTTCTTTTTCTAACCTTATTTCATTGACTTGGGCCTCCAGTATAAGATTAAATGGTACACAAAATATTTTATATCCTTTTCTTGTTTCTGACCTTAATAGAAAAGCTTCTAAAGTTTTGTCATATACACACTTATGCAGTATCATATGTACTCCATCCATATGGTTAAAGTTGGAATAAAAATATACACATTCATGTACTGTGTGTTTGACAAATACAGTCATGAATTGTTTACTGATGGGCATATGTTCTGAGAAATACATCATTAGACTATTTTGTGGTTGTGGGAAAATCATAGTGTGTACTTGCACAAACCTACATGGGATAGCATACCACACACCTA